CATCCTACTGTTTCTCATTAAAGAGTTAAATACAATTTTTTTTTAGCATTTTTAAACCTTTTATTATGAAAAATTTCAAGTATATACAAAAGTAGAGAGAATAAAACAACAATCTCCATCACTCAGATTCAATAACGATCAACTCATGGACAATCTTGTTGAATCTACAGCTCCCTATTTCCCTTATCATTTCTTAGGAATAAATCCCAGACTTCATATGGTTTCAGCTATAAATAGTTAATGTGTGAATTAAATATAATTTTTGACATGTGTTCTTCATCTATTTGTTTGAGAATTGTTTTGTAATCATAAAAAATTATACTTTGACAATTTATAAATAATTTTCAATTGCTACTGACAATAGCTGTGTTTTCTGTATAAGATCCATACATAGCCACCAATTAGATGAGCTGCTTGAGGTGTCAAGAGACTCAGTTGTTGTATTAAGCCTCTATAACACCTTGACGGAAATGTTTCCTCTTCTACAGCTTCCGGTGTTAACTTGGTATTTATCATTCAGCCTGCCACACTCCAGAAAACATGTTGAGATAGAAACTGGAGAGAATTGTTTTACTCAAGTATATACCGATGCTTAGAAAATTGGTAGCATAGGTGGAGCCAAAGTAATCAATCCATAGTAAGTAAAAGGGGTGTGCTGTGTTGGGCAGTAAGGTCTGACCATTTCAGAGTCTGCAAGGCTTAAGAGCTTGCAAGCAAGAACCGAGATTCAGACAGCTCAAAAACAATAGCAGCCTAGGGAGTCCCAGGGCTCATTAGTCTGAGCAGTGGCATAAGGACTATAAAAACTTCAGGCACAGGGGCCGGCCCAGTGGCGCAGTGGTTAAATTCACACGCTCCGCTTCTCAGCATCCCGGGGTTCGCCGGCCCAGATCCCGGGTGTGGACGTGGCACCGCTTGGCACACCAGGCTGTGGTAGGCATCCCGCATATAAAGTAGAGGAAGATGGGCACGGATGTTAGCTCAGGGCCAGGCTTCCTCAGCAAATAGAGGAGGACTGGCAGTAGTTAGCTCAGGGCTAATCTTCCTCAAAAAAAAAAAACAAAAAAAAACCCACCTCAGGCACAGCCAAGAGCCCTAAGGGACGAGTTCTTTCCTATCCTTACAGCCAGCTCTCAACTAGGGCTTGACTTATAAGGAAGCAGTTAGGGTACAGACTGGGCAACTGTGATGGTCATCTGAGAGTTTCTCATTTTGCTGGCCTGAGACTATGAAGAAGGGGCTAGTGGGATGAATAGCAGGGTAACATATTCCTTCCTTGAACTCACACAGCTCCTAAAATGCAATGATCTAAGTTTCTCAGATATGTTTATTCAAAGCTCTACTCTCCTCCCTTGCTCCTCTTTCTGTTTCTGAAACCATTTTTATACCTCCTGTTGTCCATACTCTTTTTCTCTTTATACTCTGGCATTTATCATTTAAATTTAAGTGAGTTTTTTTGCTCTAGGTTTATACTCTTAGAAGCATCACAAAACAATGAAATTACCATAACCTCAGGGGATTCTAGTGCTGGTGGTATCTTGGAAGGTGGTTACAACGTTTGGATAGGTAGGATCAACTTTACTTAACAGAAGACATTGGATTCATGGCAATATTGTCTTAAGACTACCTAATTCTATTATCATCCCTCCTAGATCCTAATTTTCCATTTCTTGAATTATTTCAGTTACTTTCTGCTAAATCTTCTTCACTTTCTTCAAATGCAATTTAAAATGTAATATTTCAAACACAACCAAAAATGTTTAGAGAGGAAAGATTTTGCCCTTCTCGATAGGAAATACCATCTTGGGTACCACCTCCAATGAATGGTGGCCATTTCTTGGTGTTTCAGGAGAAATTAGAAAAAGTATCAGATGTCTCCAAAGGGAGTCTACGTGGCATTTAAACTCCAACTAGCAAATCACTTTCCATTGTTTGTGAGGTCAAGTTTCTTCCTCTGAGAATGCTTTTAGTTCAACACAGACAAAAATAAACAGGCAAAATAGTAAAATACGATATACTGTATTTTTTTTTTTTTTTTAAAACAAAACAACTCCCTCGAGGAAAACTTGACTCCCTTTCTTGGTATTTTCCTCATAAATCTGTCTGGTTCCCTGCTTAGAAAAATTGGAGAACAGCTGCTTAGCTGTCCATAAAGAGCCCTTAATTATTTAAAGACCTTGATTTCATCCTCTTCCCTCCATGCTGTGTTTGGCCCTTCCATAAAAACTTTCACTTCACATTAAACATTCTCAACTCCACTGGCTCATTTTGCCAACTTAAACATTTTTATTGACTTCCACAAATTCTTAGGTTATTCTTAGGATGTGAAATATGATAACACTTGATAGGGCCTGATCCTACAGCTTGGAGCGTGATAATGGAGCTGGAAATTTTGAATGTTATTTCCCAGACCCTGCAGGGGTTTGGCATGGGAAACTATGTTGTGGTGGAAGGTGGTTTTATGGACATTCCTTCGTGCTAGTGGATATAGTGCTCTTTTCATTCTTCAAAGAATACTCACAGGCTGAATTTCTTCCTGTGATCAAGTCATTTTAATGAGACTTCAGAAATGTAGAGGCTGGAAATGTTTCTATTCAATTTGGCAATTTTATTAACACTGAAAGTGAAATTTCTGTGCTGGTTGGAATTTTGTTCTCATATTATCTGAAGGCAGAAAATTTCTTGAGGCAGTAAGAAAATCCAAGAATAACCAGCATCCAGCCCATACCTTAATTACAACTCAGATAACCAAGACATAGGGTGGCCTATTTTTGTCTTATGAAATTTTAACATTTTGATATCACTATTAGTTAAATCTTATTACACCAGTCTCCTGGGAACTATGTGAAAATATCTATTGTACTGAAGTCCTCAATATGAAATATTACTTTAAAGAGATATATCATAGACTAGGGCTTCAAAATGTCTTGTAGTAATTTGGATTATAGTATATTTTACACACTTATTTAATCTACCCTTCTGATTCATTGAATTTTAATATTATTTGTTTTAATACAAGCTTATCTTTTTTTAATATGCGTCTTGTGTACAATACCCTTTGTATACTATGTCTTCACATTAGGAAATAATCACGTTGTTTCTCAGAAATAAATTACAATCATGCTTTGGATTATGCTTTTACATTCATTTTTTTCTTTTTCCTATTTTTTTTCGAAATTTCTTTGCAATCTTTTTGTAACTTTGGTTTTTCTTTTTCAGACTCTTTCCAGCTTCCCCAAGATGAGGTTTGAAATTAGATCCAGCATTTTAATGAGAGCTTGCCCTCTGCTAATTAAACATTTTAGATAACTGGAAATAACATCAGCATGCCATCTCCACATGGAAATTGACAATCCTTGGTATATACAAAGAGGACTGGAACATTTCCAATGAATCAGAGCTCATGTAGGACTGTACATATGACAGAAAGTGGTTGCCTGTATTTTTGCTTTGTTTTGTTTTCCAAATAATTCTAGAAAGTGAGGTGAATCCTTTCATTACTTATGAGATTGGAGAATCAGATGCGCCCTATTCTATAGGCAGATGAAAAGGATGGGCCCGTATGTGGTGTGACAGAGACATCCAGAAGTTCCTTGGGCCCAAAATATTTCTCCCACTTGTTTATCTTGAAATAATGTATAGGGAGAAATTTCTCAGTATTAAGAATTTTTATTTTTGAAATTCAAGTGCTTTTCTGCATTGTCTATGGAAATCCTTGATACCTAGTGTAGATAACTATCAGGTAACTTTGACTGAATGATTTGAGAGAACCAAGTGCAACATGGAATGGGTAATTGGGACTGGGGACAGAAAAATACAAATTTGATCTCACTTAATATTTTGCCTAGAGCTGGCTCTGGATTGGAAATACCTTACTCTAGACAGGGAGACATCTGCTAAATCTTAACCATTTCAATGGAAGAAATGTTCTCTGATTTCTCATTTGTAGTCCAAGCTATTTCCACCCAATATCAGGGATGAATGTAAGAGTAGAGCAGGAGAAATGGATAAAATAATATCTTAGTGGATCTTTTATTTGTCTTAAGTGTGCCTATGGTTGATGAAAAGTCCAAAGGGAGCATAATTCTGATTACCCTCATTATCCTTTCCTACAAAATGGGTCATGGTGAACCTCTTTTGAACATGCCTCAGTGATATGGCTCATTGCCCTTGGTCTCTTCTTTTGGTGATTAGTGTGTTCCAGCTGCTGTTCTACTCATCCTCAATATGATGCTTCCCTAAAGTTTAAGGGTAAAGATTTTATTTCGTGTTTCTTCTACAACTTCTCAATCTCTGTCACCTGAGATAAATAAAAACAAAGAACATGAATTTCTTTTTAATTCTTCCTGAGTAATTTGTTTCCTAACAGGTACTACTAACCTTTATACCATATGGCAATTCATAGCACAAAGCGTTCTTCCTTCAATTTGATAAATTATTATGCAGTAAGCATTGCGGTGTGAGTGTAAAGGCAAATAAGAAATCTTTCCTCACTTTGAGTGACTTAGTCATTTTTCATGTAAGTGTATGGTGCTCATGGAGATTACATTTGATTTTCAAAACAACCTTGGGAAATATAATCTCTATATTATATTGAACAAACAAAGAACAAAACTCATGTTTAATACCTTGCCTGGGGTCACTCCACTGGTGAGAAGTAGATTGGATCTAGATCTTTCATTTTAGAACTCTTGTTCTTAAAGGATATAATTCTGTCTACTGAAAAAAAAGCGATTTTCGTGCTCTCATCACTTCACGATGAATGTCATTATCTCCCTTCCCAATTTGTTGTAAATGCAATTTAAAAGTATTACAGGAATAAAAGGTTGAAAGAGATGCAAAATGTTCCTTGTTCTATCTATACAGGAACATACGTTTCCTACCTCACAGAACTTGCTTAATTTTTTTTCATCTTGGAATATGGTTCTATAAACACCAGATCCCAAATCTGGTAACATATATATGTTACAATATATATACATATTGTCTTTAGTCTAACTTACACTTTTCTTGTTCTAATTTAATTTTTCTTTCTCTAGGTCACTTGGTATTCTTGACTTGAAAAAAGACGATGATTCTAAGGTGACAGAATTTGTTCTTCTGGTCTTGTCATCCTTTTGGGAGCTGCAGCTATTTCTCTTCTTAATATTTTTGTTGTGTTAGTGTCCTGGGAAAGCTCTTGATATTGGTAACAGTGAGAGCTGATGCCCACCTGCTCCAATCTCCTATGTACTATTTTTTGGGCCATCTGTCCTTTGTTGACCTATACCTGAGCTGTGTCACTATCCCCAAGATGTTAAGGGATTGCCTACAGTAGGGCAAGATCATCTCTTTTTCAGGATGCCTGGGCCAGACCTACTTCCCGCACTTTCTGGGAGCCAGTGGGGGTGTTTTTGTTGCTAGTCATGGCCTACGACAGGTATGTTGCCATACGTAATCCTTTGCCCTACCTGAGAGTCATGAACCACCAGCTATGCCTTCAGTTGGTTTTTGCCTGCTGGTGTGGGGGTTTCATCCACTCTATCACACAGGTCATACTTGTCTTCCAGCTGCCCTTCTGTCACCCCAATGAACTGGACAATTTTTATTGTGATGTCCCACAGGTCATCAAGCTAGCCTGCATAGACATGTACGTGATAGAGGTGCTGATGGTCTCAAACAATGCTCTGCTATCTCTTGTCTGCTTCTTGGTCTTGCTATTCTCTTATGCTGTCATCCTGATCACCCTGAGAACTCGCTTCCACCAGGGCCAGAGCAAGGCACTCTCTACCTGTGCCTCCCACCTAATAGTGGTCAGCCTGATCTTTGTGCCATGTGTATTCGTCTACCTGAGGCCTTTCTGCAGCTTCTTTGCGGATAAGGTATTCTCCATCTTTTACACAGTGATCACGCCTATGTTGAACCCCCTCATCTACACACTCAGCAATGCTGATGTGAAGACAGCCATGAAGAAGCTGAGAAAAAAACATGTGATATGCTTCCGCCATGTTAGAAAACATACTCTCTTGGGACACTCTTAACTCATCCTGTACATGAGCACATGCCTGAAAGCCAATTTGGTGACTTTGGTATGAAAGAGAAGCCAGCATGAAAATTATAATGCATTGCTATTGAGGCATAGGTAGCTTTCTCAGGGATTAAATGTTAAGCAGGGAACTCGAGAGTGTTTACTGGCTCACAAATGATAACAGGAATTAATTGCAGGCTAAAGTCAAGAAGACTCCTTGAAAGAGCAACTCTTCTATCCTTTTGTCTATAAGTGGTCTGCATTTATTCAATTCATTTCAATTTTAAACTCTCTTCAAATGAAAGAAGATATTACGTCCTTTTTTTGCCCTGCTCCTCCAGAGTTTAACAACTTTAGTATCAGGAAATTCCTTCTGATGTCTCAACAGTCTTTTCCAAAGCAATGTGAACCCCTTTGTCCTGTCTCTAACAAAGCCTGAAAACAGCACTAACCATCCTATATATTAATGTTCGCTAAGAACTGTGTTTTATATTGTGCCAAATTTTAAAAATGCACTTAAATTCAATTCACTTGAACGAACATATGCTCTCGGCAAGGTTTATGTGTGAAGCAAGGGAAATCTGGGAGTTCTGGGGTGATGGAAGCTTCTAGTGTTCTGTCTAGCAGCTTCTCTAGAAGAGGTGTCCCATTCCACCTCAAGTTATTCTTTGAGTGAAATTACAGTGGGGGTGAGTAGATAAGCTGGCTCTTCAAGTAATCCTCATGTTTAAGAGCTCTAGACTCTAAAGGAAAAGACAAAGAAATGAGTTACGGTTTATAGCATTCATAGTTAGTACTGCTGAGTCTCAAAAGTACTTTGAGGAGTAGGTAATGTTAGTCAACTTCAGTTTTACAAATGAACTCAGATTTCTTAAGTGTCTTGCTCAAGATCACTTAGACAAAGTACAATCAACCAAGAAAGCTAGTAATTTTAGATAATTAAGATTAACTCAATATTTTCCTTTCCACAAAGGGTACTTATCCCAATTAGATGGATCAATTATTTAATTTCTACTATACCTATATAGGAGCTCCAGAGCTAGGAGATCCTTAAAAACATTCACTTAAACATTTATATCTAAGGTTATCTACTTCTGATATAAATCTCTTTGCAAATTTTTATGGGTATGGAAAGGTATTTATTCTATTTACTAAAAAATAATATAATGATGGATTATTAGCAATATTTTTATATTTACTCACTTTATTTTCTAATCAATTGCTATAGAGAGGCTTTTCTGATTACTTAGCTGAAAAACATACCTCAGGAAAAAGAAGTCTAAAATTCCACCTAATGTTAGGATTTCCTAGGTAACTTGCAATACCCCTGGTCATGTAAGAACTTGGACATCTTGCCATTTGCATGTTCTACCACACATCAATAGATCACTCAAATACTAAATGATAAAGTCTCTCAATATCCACTAGAGGAAGGTGGATGCATTCCAAGATGATATGTGAGCCCAGATCATCGGGAGAAGTAGAGCAGAGAGGTCAGAAGTGTGGACTCTGGAGTCAGATCCCTTCATCATGGTCCAGCTCCACCACTTCCCAGAGGACAAGCAACTTAACCTCTCAACATCCCTTTGACTATTGTCCTTTCAAAGAGGACAATAATAGTATCTGCCTCACTGGATTCTCAGAAAAATGAAACAAAATAATACCTGTACAGCTCTAATAAGCATGTCTACATATGGTCAGAACTCAATAAATATTGGCTGTTTATGTTACAATTATTGCTAATTGTTCTGTTAAATTAAAAGAGAAACAAAATCTGAAAGAACATTGTATAATTGTTTGATCCTAGAGAATCACAAGACAGAAAAAGGAACTGAGTTTTTGACCTGAGACACCTGTTATGTGACAGTAAAATCCCTAATAACTCCCCCATTCATATCAAAATTAGCCTCGACACAAGAAATTTCATGTTAGGTGATAAATGAGTCCTCAAAATATGTTAAAAAAATCACATTTTAAGTGGTTTTAAAAAAATGATCTGGTTAATATCATACTTTCAAGTCTTTTATATCATCATTTTTAATTTAATTAATTAATGTTAGAATAATTTTACATTTACAGAAAAGTTTCAAAGACAGTACAGAGAGTTTCTGTATACCTCATACCGTTTCCTCTACTGTTAATATCTTACATTACTATGGTACATTTGCCACAACTAATGAACCAATTTTGATACATTATTATTAACTAAACTCCACATTTTATGTAGATTTCAACACTTTTTCCTTAATGAATAGGCTGACTCAAGATATCTATTTTTTATTTATTATCGTGCTAACTATTGATTTATTGTTTTTATGCTCTTTATGTTCCCAAGCTTTTTGTAATTATTCCATAAACAAACAGACTTCGTGAGCTTCACTTGCTTAGAGAAAATGGTAAAATCCATAACGTAAATACAGTGTAGTCTGGTTCCTATCTCTTAAGTGAATAACTCTTTGACTTCCTAACCTAACCAATCTTTTCTTCAAATCTATAGCTTCTCAGCTGCAAGTTCTATCCTGCCCCAGACTCTGTACTAATATTATCATGGGAATATGTAGGGGTACTGAGCAGTGTGCCTGGGGATAAGAAAATCTCATATAATACCTAGGAGTCCCTGTATTAGTAATTTTGTTATACTACCACTCTAAACCTTGAGCCCAGTTACAGTGACTAAGCTTGTTTGGAGACCAAGTATCGATCCCCACTTACTGTCCCAGTCCTGTCCCATCGTATGGACCTCTGAACTGTAGGTAGTTTCCCTTTTCCTTCATGACTCTGGACATGTTTCTCGCTCTACTTGAATTAATGACCCCCTGTTCGGCTTCAATATTAGAGTTCTTATCTTCTTGGAAGTCATGTCTGATCCTGTCGTTATAGAGTTTTATCAACTGATCATCATATGAATTCTCATACTCATAACATGCTTTACTTGTGTTTAGTGAGCATAGCACTTACAAATGTGATGCAATTTTAATTTCACTTAATGGGCTGCACCATTATTCAGTGGTCTCTGTATCTAGAGTATCAAGCACAGTGCTCAGCCAAGAATAAATGTTCAATAAATGTTTTTTTTTTACTGATATATAATTTATATATAATATTGTGTAAGTTTAAGGTGTGCAACATGTTTATTTGATACATTTATTTATTGCAATATGATTACCACCATAGCTTTGGCTAACACCTCTATCACATTTTGTAATTATCATTTCTTTTTTTGTGGTGAGAACATTTAAGGTCTAGTCTTTTTTTTGTTGTGAGAACATTTAAGATCTAGTTTCTTAGCAACTTTGAAGTGTATAGTATAGCTTTGTTGACTATAATCACTATGCTGTACATTAAATCTCCAGAACTTATTCATCTTCTAGTTGCAGGTTAGTGCCCTTAAGCAACATCTCCCCAATTCCTCCATCCCCCAGGCCCTGGTAACCACCGTTCTACTTTCTGAGTTTTGCTTTTTTAGATTCCACATATAAGTGATATCATACAATATTTGTCTTTCTTTGTCTGACTAAATATTATTTTGAAGGAAGGAAGGAATAATGAGAAAAGAAAAAAGAAGGAACCTAGGAAGAGAGGAAGGAATGAAGGAACAAACAGAACAAGATAAGGAAGAGAGAGAAACATGTGAGACAATCCTTTATCTCAGAAGGAATTTGAGTGGAGAAACCCAGTAAAAACAGGACTGCCACAATTAGCCATTTCCTTGTCCAAAAAGCTTCTTTATTTATAACCTCTAGAGTCCTAGAACAATAAACTGCTACCAACAGCAATAAAAAGCACTTTTATGTTGCAACATAATAATCCTTTCTACCTCAGAAAAGCGTTAATCTGGGTGAACGCTATTTGGGCTACCATATACCATATTTTCCTTGTGTGCCATTCAAACACAAAATTCAACCTCATTCAAACTTTAGGCCTGACTTGAAAGTTCACACTTAATTTAGTGATACATTTTATACTCAATTTCAGAGGTGTAATCCTCAACTTTAGTCAAATCTCCTTGACCTAAATGCCTTAGAAATTCATTCATGTAATAATAGGACTGAAGCAGTATCTTCACAGTGCCACTAAATTAAAAATGTAGCTTATCTACTTTAGGCTCAGCAAATTTTAACACGAAGTAAAATATTTCAATAGGTTTATAAACAAATACACTATTTTGTCATTATGTTAGTGGAACAATATAGTGATACTGAACATCACCCTCCTCCTTCCCTTGCCCCAACTTTAAGTCAATTATGCAAAACTGTGGAAATGACCTGAATATTTATTAACGAGTTATTTACCAAGTAGCCTTCAACATAATTTACAAGGCATCATTTAGTGGAGATTACACTTGCACTTTCTCTGCCTAACAATACTCTCCAGTTGCTACCCAATCACTGGCCCAGCAATTCCCTCAGGGTTGTGCTGGGACATAAAGATTGCTGACACTTTCTCTCTCTTGGCAGGCAGAAATGTAGAAAGAAGCTCTTGCAGACCAAGATCAGAAGCCATGGCATGGCTATAAACTCATACATTTCTATCTGAGAAATTGAGAGAGACAGCAAATTAACAAACTCAGGCCCTCTTCTTAGGCTGCAGGTGTAATCCTTTTTGTGAAATGTAGCACATACTAAAAGAAGCATCAATATACTGATCTCAATCTTTTAGTATGAATATCTGGATATAGATCACAGTTCTGTCTCAGAAAGGTGTATTAATCCAAGATCTCAGGTTGTCCAAATCCATGTCGTGGAACCACACTCAAGAAGACGGCCAGAGTAAGTTTCTCTTTTGGAATGACAAGTTAATAAGGTGAAAGAGGCAAGAGCAACTTTCATGGATTCAAAGCGTATGAAAGGATAAAGCAGAATCTTTAAATTCTTCACTCACTTTACAAACTCTGTTCTAGTAATTCCATTAAGTAATTTGGGGAAAGTTTATTACAGTTTAAAAGGTGTATCAATATTATTTCAATTGAAATTTAGTCCTAGCTTTATCATTAACAGTGAAACCTAGATAACTCAATTTCCTCTGCACTTCATTTGTTTCATCAATGGTTAAACGGGTGAAATAAAGTCAAGTCATCTCCAAGATCCTTTTTACCTATAAGGATACATTTTACAGAAGTTATGGTCCAGTCTAGGGAATTTGAGGAGGTCATTTAAAGTTATTAGTCTAAAATGAGTGGTTTTATGCCAGGAATTAGATTTTATTCATCTTTTTATATTCACAGCACAGTACCAGATGCAGAGAATGTGCTCTTTAAATATTTATTAGGTGAAAGGATAAATAAATATTGGTGCTGTGTGAAAAACAGAAATATATATGCATATATATTCTATATTGTTTACATTAGGTTTTTTGCAGTTATTTTCAAGACTTTACTTACTCAGACACTATTGCACAAAGAGCTTGCCATGGAATGGAGCTTGCTGTTAGGAAAGAGATCCAGAATGTTTGATCTCTGCCCTTTTCAAATTGCTCACAGGAGAAACTGTGACTAAATCTCTTTCCCTGAAGATTTCAGTGAGTTGCAGTCTTGCTATTTGTTCTATTTGAAATAGTTTAGGTGGACTCATAGAGTTAAATAAAGGAACAACCTTGTTTCTTGAACAGTATAGATCCCATTATAATTGGCATACTTTCTTTGGCATCATCCCAGAGAGACCAAATTTGACCTAGGAGCCTGGGTGGACCAGTGGAAATAACCAGTTCCACAGAGGCTCTGGTCCACAGAATTCGGGTGTCTGATATTGATGCTCCTGAAATTCTACCACTAAAATGATTATGACTTAGATTTGCAGACAACTTACTACTTTCATGTCCATTAATTAACTTGATCCTCTCCATGAGTGGCACTATTATCTTACAAGGGAGAACTCTGGTTATTACAAGTGAGGAAAATTGTGTTAAGATCACACAGCCTGTAAGAGGCAGAGTTGTGAGTCAAGCCCTGTTGTTCGACCTTCAAATCCTGTACTCTTTCTCCCAATGAAGATAATAGATCAATCTTGTGTCTTAGACTTGGATTAGTTTTATGGGATCCTGAGGGGGATCCTAGATAAAGTTGAGATTGTTACCATTCAGGAAGAATAGAGCTGCTGCCCAAACGTCTTTGGTTACCCTTACTTGAACTCTTAAAGAAAGCCAGGCAAAGATATGGAGGATACTTTGTTACTACTCCAGCCAAAGGAATATATTTGAGAGGGTGGGTGTCAGCAGTAGAGGCGTTTTCCAAGATTTTGACAAGCATGAAAACACATATAAATTGGAATTAGGAGATGAACATGGTAGGAGTTTAGCATCTTCAGAAGACTCCTATCCATGTCTCTCTCCCTCCTTCCAGTAGGCATATATTCCAGTCATTAAGATGGGTAATGATAATTATATATTTGCTTACAGTGTGCCATTATATGTAACACATTTAATCCTTACAACACTTATTTGGTATATACTATTCTTACCTACATTTTACATTTAAGAGAACTGAGGCAAAGGGAAGTTAAATAACTTTCTTAAAGCAAGTAGTAGGGCTAAAATTTGAACCTAGGCAAGCTGGGTTTCAGGTTTCTCCTTTTTAACAACTGTTCTCCACCACCGCCCGTTCCTGCTGCCCTCCTGGCACTGGAGTGATCACTGGAGTGATTCTTTATTTATGATCCCTCCAAATAATTCAAGATAAATTCCAATTCCTCAACTTGACTCACAAGACCCTTTGTGATCTAAGCAATTCCTTTTCAGCCTCATTCCTAACACTTCCCTTCATGGATTCTGTGTGAATCATATCAAACCTATAGGCATTCCTCATAAAAGATGCTATAATGATTTACACCTTTTTATTTTCACGTGTCCTATTCACTAGCCTGGATGTCCTTCCTGCCTTGCCCACTTTTCTGCCCACCCAATAATTCTCTTCAACATCAGGTTAACTATCAGTTAACATCAGGTTAACTCAACTTTCAAAATCCCACTCAATGATGACTTTCTCTGGAAAGGCGTCCCTGACTCTCCTGGGCTTCCTTATCATTGTCTCAGAGAACCGTGATTGTTAGTTTGCATACAGACCTCCTCTATTTGATTGTCAACACATTAGATGAAATAATGTCTAAATTAATGATCAATATCACATCACTTGTCACTGCATTCTCATTGTAAGTTTAAGTTGAGAAAAGTTGGGACAAACTGTGATCTTTCCAGTTGCAACTGTAGTCTTTGTCTCCAAATACTGGATATGGTTAAAAACAATAAACCAAATTCTTTATGATTAGCAGAAAAGGAGTCTTTTGACAATTGCAGAAAGCTTACGACTTTCAAATGAGAAAGCGGATATGATGACTTTGATGCCATCAGCCCTGGTAGCATACACATGCTTTAAGAAAATAAACTTTGAGGTCCCGTTGCTTAGGTTCAAATACCAGCTCTGCCAATCACATGCTCTATCACTTTGAGCAAGTTATTTACTCTTTGTGCTTCAGTTCCTCATCTCTGAAGTGGGGATAGTGATGATAGCCTACTTCATGATATTCTTGTAAGAATTAAATGAGTTGTTAACACTTAGAACAACACCTGGCATATGGTAAGTACAACATAAGTGTTTTCTGTGATTAGCTAAATATTTTTCCAACCCTTATGATTTTGCCAATTGTTTATGAGTGAATACAATTTGGCTTTGTTGATACAGTGTCATAGAATATTCAAAGATTTTAAAGACATGGACCATATTCTCTAATCAAAGGATTTTGCATCATAAGAGAGCAAATGATGTTTTAAATGCAATTCCTTTTCATGAGAAGTTCATCTATCTATTTGTCTATCTATCTTCATCATTATCATCATCTTTTTCCTATTCATTGTTCTGTCTTTCTATCATTTATTTAAGGGGATGTGTACTTCATGGGATTGGGAGGCTGCAATTCAAATACCAGCCCCTTCACTGACTCTGTTATATTGGAGGATTCACCTAACTTCAAACTTTGGTGTTCTGTAAAATGAAGATAAATATTAAAATGTTTTTGTGAGAATAGGATGAGATACAATCCTGCACATAATAAAGTGTGTAGTAAATATTAACTACTATTAATGGTATCTCTTTAATGGAAATCATCAGATACTATAGTTTATTTTCTCAGGAATAAAATTATATATGAATTTTAATATTCTCTATTTTTTGTCTATATAATTTTTACATAACAGCTAAATAGGTAAAATTGCAAATTCTATTTACTAGAAAGATCCCATTTTGTAGATTCAAATTATAAAGTAAAACTCTTCATAAATACAAAAAAAACTACATAGATATCTCATCTTATTTTTGTAACAGCTCTGTGAGGTAAAAAACTTTATAATCCATATTTTATAAATGAGAAAACCAAGATTTAGAGAAAACAGATTGATTTACCTAAAGTTATCCAGTTGGTGAGGTGCTCAAACTGAAATCACTCAGCTTCTGGGCAGTCCTCTTTAAACTATCCATGCAGAAAAGAGGTTTTTCTAGTAAAGATGGAAGATACCTAATAATTTGCAATGCTTCAGAAAAGCCATTTTATTCCAAGGGACTTCTTTAGATCTTGTCTCATGATTCATCTCTTTCAAGAATTCTTCCCTGATTATTTTTATCTAATATTTTTCTCTGTATGCCTTAAGCATTCCTGTATATGGTTTGTAAAACTGTATCAGACACTTATTTTTTTAACTACCATTTATAGCATTATCTGTTTGGGAAATTTTATTCCTAATTCTTACCTATGATTACAAGGGCAGAGGGCTTTTTCAAGGCAAAGAGATTGAGGATAATGGGAACCTCAATAATTTTTTAACTTTTCAACTCTTTAGAGCAATATAGGAAAAGATATTTCTGTCTATAGTTGGACCACTTCTCAAGTATTCCTTACTGGCAAGCAAAGTGGAAGTTTCACATGCAGGCCAAGGCTTAGGACTCAAACTCACCCAATGTGATTTACAAGCACGAGCTGTTGATAAGCAGGAGGCCACTGTATATGTGGTTCTCAGTCACTAAACATGACTTAATTTTTAATTGTTTTGAAACTTCCAATCTAATTTAGAAACTGGAAACTGAGTCTTCTGCATTTGATTAAATAGAACATTATTCTTCTAAAGTTGATCTGTGTATATTATATTAAAAAGATTCACTTAAAAATTTTAAGAATTTTGACATCAGAGCTCTGATTCTGAGTTCTGGCTTTTATCTTAAGGCTGAAAAATTAATTTATCAATTTAGTAATTAATTTAAGCTTTTTCTTCCCCAAAAGGATTTCCGATGAGAGAGAGAAAGAGAAGGGAGGTATATGCTTAAGGAAAAGCAGTAAATCCGATAGAAAGAAAAAACTCATATTCTCTAGATTCTTGTTTTGGAGAATGGAATTGTAGGTCTAAGTGTAACAGAAAATCAAATGTGAGTCAATAATGTAGTAAGAAAATTAATAATGAGAAAAATATTCATTAACTGTATTCAAGAAATATTAAGAATTTACCATGTTATGCATGACTTAAATATTTTCATAAGGCTGTCTCTGTTAGGCTTTACCATGCTTACAATAGTTTATAACATTTATTTATTTTTACAGAGAACCAGAGCCACTCAACCAGTTCTGCCTGGGTCCTCATGCAAGTGGTCAACAATGTCACTGAGTTTACATTCCTAGGACTTTCCCAAGATCCCAGAATGCAACTGATTTTCTTTGCCCTATTTCTCCTCTTCTACATCGTGATCATAGTGGGAAATCTGTTCATTTTGCTTACAGTCTTTTCTGATCCTCGACTCCACACACCCATGTATTTCTTCCTCAGTAACCTGTCCTTTGTAGACATTGCCTATTCCTCAGCCACTGCACCCAAGATGATTGAAGACTTTGTTTCTGAGAAAAAGACTATTTCCTACTGGGGCTGTGTAACTCAGATGTTTACCTTCCACTTTTTTGGTTGTGCTGAGATTTTTGTTTTGACTGTCATGGCTTTTGACCGTTATGCCGCCATCTGCCAACCTCTTCGTTATACCACCATCATGAGTGCCAATGCTTGTATTGTGCTGGCATCACTGTCCTGGTTAGGAGCCCTGGGTCATTCCTTTTTTCAGACCCTCCTGACCTTTCAGCTGCCTTTCTGCAATGCTCGGGTCATTGACCACTACTTTTGTGATGTGCACCCAGTCCTAAAACTTGCTTGTGCTGATACAACCCTGGTAAATATGTTGGTGATTGCCAATAGTGGTCTAATCTCTCTGGGCTGTTTCCTCATTCTTCTGGCCTCCTACACAGTAATTCTATTTAGTCTTCGGAAGCGGTCTGCAAAGAGCCGGCATAAGGCTCTCTCAACCTGTGGATCTCATCTGACTGTAGTAACTTTCTTCTTTGTCCCTTGTATTTTTATTTATCTTCGTCCATCCACTACTTTCCCACTGGATAAGGCTGTGTCTGTGTTCTATACTACCATCACTCCAATGCTAAACCCACTCATCTATACTTTGAGGAATGAGGGTGTGAAGAATGCCATGAAACGACTATGGAGTCGCAAGTTCTCCTTGAAGGAAAAGTTAAAGGGATAGTTTGTAGTAAATGCAAATCAGAGAATTAGCTGAAACTTTCATGGTCCCTACCTTACTAATGCTTTTAAGGAATAGGCTCTAAAATTCAGCCATCTTGTAATTTTCATTTAACAGGGAATAACTTGAGGCTATTTTATTTCTCTGCCTTTGGGTGGGCTAAATTTAAACCTTTCCCTACTGGAAACACTCCTACACAGTATCTCATTTAACTGCTTTAGATCCCTTCAATTTAAACCAAACTATCTTCAGCTATAATTCAATAACTCAGAATGAGGTTTCAAGGGAAAGTTATCTCTGAGGAATCAGATCATTTCTCCTAAAAAAAAAGAAGTTTGACTTCCCAGGAGCTGCCTTCTTTTTCCCCTCATTTCCTCCCTCCTCCCTTCTTTTTTTTCCTTTCTTTCTTTCCTAGTCTTCTCCCACAAATATTGTATAATCTAGTAAAGGCAATAAATTCATAAAGAGATAAGTATAACAAATTCAGAAAATGTGACATAGAAAAATACACTTCATCCAATGAAGAAGTTGATATAAACTGACAAACTGCCCAAAGGATGATTTCCATACAGGAAAAACAAAAGAGAGAGAGAGCGAGAGAGAGAGAGCATTTTACATATCTTGCAGGGGAAGAATCTTTTTAAAGACCCTCTTGAAGAACTTGAATATTGTCTGTCACCCCAGTACTATGACAATATTTTTACTGAAGGCAATCTTTTTTTTTTTGCCATACATAAAATAGATTAAAGTATCTAAAATGAATTGATATTTGAACTATTGAAATGACTAAGTCAAGGAGATGTATTTCTATTATGAATTTTTAGGTAAAATTGTTTTCAGTTTTATAAAGGAAAAAACGAAATAAACACATTTGTTTGTGTGATGTTCTTAATAAAGTTGGAGAATAGCTGGATTTTCTCAATACTTCAGAAAAGGCATTTTTAATCTGAGGAACATTGTAGATTTTGTTTCATAATTCATATCTTTTAAGAATTCTCTGATGATTCTCATCCAATGTTTATTTTCTGTGTGCCTTAAATACTCCTGTGTGTAGTCTATAAAAGAGAATCAGACACGGGTTTTTCTGGTTTTTGTTTTTTAATGGATTTTATTTCACTTCCAAAACTTATCAAGGATATAAAGAATGAATCTTATTTCTTTTCTACTTTCCATATATAACACAGAGATGGCTGCACAATGAATACTTGTGGCAGGATCTGCCATTTGTCACCCCAATATCTATTGTTTCTTTTTTTCCCTAGTGACAGAGACTTGACATCATTTATGGTGACCCAGCTAAAATATTGCATTTAGCAGTCTCTCCTTTGCAGCTGGGGGTGGACAATATGATGTTAACAGTAGCTGGTGGGTGAGACATTTGAAAATTCTTTAAAATGGTTTCTCTACCCTATAGTCCTTCCATCCATGATTACCATGAAGATTTTGATGCATTTCCTTATAGTTTTTTTCATATTACCTTTCTTCGGTGAAAAGGATCATTCTCTCCCTTTTGTAAGTACCTAATTTTTAAAAATAAACAATGACTACACTGAAATTATATTTAACATGGCAGGCTACATTAGTTTCACTTTTCCTTCCTAAGATCTAAATAAGATAATAATAACAATAACAAAGGGGAAAAAAGTTTAGACTCACAAGAACAAAGAAAACAGGACAGAAGTTAGATGCAGACCAAAGATTCCAAAAGATCTTTTGATAAGAGAAGACAAAGGTGTGGTAATTGATTTGGCAGAGTAGAGAAGGCTAACTCTACCAACTGCAAGGAATACTGAGAAGAAATGCACAGATTTATCTCTCAGAATCCCTGACATGTTTGAGATGCCAGGACACCAGGTAAAGGAGATCATGGGATTCAGGTCTGGCCATAAGGAGATTAACAGAAAGGAATATTTCAATCTCGCATCCACTCTTTCCGCATCTCACTCCCATATGCTCACACAGGTGTGTGCTTCACAAATAAATATTGACATCTTTGTGTTAATAAGTTAAGGGTATTAGAGAAAAGTCTTTCACATTCTGCCTTTGAAGATCCCAAATGGAAGTGTTGCCTCTCTACTGGAACCCTGACCAGAAGTCTACCAATTAGCGAGTTCTGCTTTATTGGTCGAGAGGTTTTAGTCAAATTTTTGGTGTCTTATTCTTTAATATATATAAGACATTTAAGGAAAAAGTGAGCCTTTAGGAAGGCCAAAAGGACTCTGGTGGAATCAAAGGTAACAAAAGAAGAAATAGACTTTAAAAAACCATTCATATCTTCAAATTGATGTGAGAAAATATTTGCAATCTTAAAATGAGAATATGATGCCAAAAAGATAAGCAGAAGGCATAGGATGCAATAGGATCTAATAGAGATGTGTGAAAGCAGAAACATAGAAACCCCAGGAAGGGAGGCTTCAGAAACCAGAGAGAGGATAGTGGGTATTTGTATTATCTAAGATGGTGTTGGAGCATTTTGCTCATACATGTATAGTCAATTGGATGGAATAAGTTGATATATTTAAGGAAATTATCTATATCATTTAGAATAGAAAACTGATGACACAGTCAAGATATGATAATTCAAGGATGGTTCATTCACAAAGAGCCCATCTATACAACTGTAGGTATGGAGGTATAGCATGAGACAGTGCCATAACCAGGTGTTAGAAGCAGCAGAGCTGTTAACAGCGTTATGCCTGAAGGGACTGGAAGAAGCCAGAAAAGAGAGATTTAAGGTAGCCATTTGAGAGGAGCAGTGACCTTTAATGAAGGACAATTTGCAGGAGGTCAAGGGAATAAATACTTGTAGCTTCCTCTCCTTTCTTGAATCACCTTCCAAGGCATGTCACTGGCTGAACATAACCACAAAACAGATGGCAGAAGACCCTTGTTGATAAAATCCATAAAGGTCATCACTTGGGGCAGAATTCAGGAGCAGGGGGGTAGTGAGAGGGTCTAGTGGGGGGAAGACTTTCAGAACATTTTCCAAAAGAAGCATGACATAACTACTAATTTAGGGGAAAAAAAGGAAATATAATTATTATTCAATACTTGGCCTTACAGAGAAAAAATATATAATCATAATATTATTCTTACTATTTATTTAATTTTAAAAATTGATGTGATTATATTGGAGGATGGAAAGAAAAGACTTTAGAAAGGGTTATATTGGTGAGCTAAATTCTCATTTTGCCATGACAGGAAGTCAATGATGTTTAAAAGGAATTTATAAGAAATAACAATATGGGCATTTTATTTAGAAATACAGAGTTCATACTAGAAGTAATAATTTAAAAAAATGAGACAATATAGGGCAGAAGTTAGCATAATGCTCCTTGGGTTCATCCATGTTGTCATAAGTGCCAGGATTTCCTTCGTTTTTAAGACTGAATAATATTTTCCATTTATCTGTCAATGGACACATAGGTTGTTTCCATGTGTTGGCTATTGTGAATAAGGCTTTGAGGAACATGGGAGTACAAAAAGCTCTTCAAGATGATGACTTTGTTTCCTCTGGATATATACCCAGAAGTAGGATTGCTGGATCATATGGTAGTTCTGTTGTACTGAGGAAACATCATATTGTTTTCTATAGCAGATGTACCAGTTTACATTCCCACCGACAGTGCACAAGTGTTCCCTTTTCTCCACATCTTCACCAGCATTTGTTTTCTTGTTTTTTAGTGATAGCCATCCTAGCAGGTGTGAGGTAATACCTCATTGTTGTTTTGATTTGTATTTCCCTGATGATTAGTGATGTTGAGCACCTGTTCCTATACCTATTGGCCATTTCTATGTTGTCTTTGGAAAAATGTCTCTGAGGGTCCTTTGCCCATTTTTTAATGAGATTATTTGTTTTATTGCTATTAAGTTGTATGAGTTCCTTCTAGATATTAGATGTCAACCTCTTATTGGATATGTGGTTTGCAAATATTTTCTACCATTCCATAGGTTGATTTTTAATTTTGTTGATGGTTTCCTTCACTGTACAGAAACTTTTTAGTTTGATGTAGTCCCACTTGTTTATTTTTGCTTTTATTGCCTTTGCTTTTGGTGTCAAATCTAAAAAATCATTGCCAAGGCCAACGTCAAGGAACTTTTTCTCTATATTTGCTTCTAGGAGTTTTACAGTTTCAGGTCTTACGTCTAAGTCTTTGATCCACTTTGAGTTGTTTTAAGTAAAATTATCTCTATTTGCAGATAACGTGATATTATATACATGGACAATCCCAGACTCTACCAAAAAATTGTTAGAACTAATAAACAAATTCAGTAAAGTTGCAGGATATAAAATCAATGTACAAAAATCACCTGGGTATCTATACACTAACAGTGAACTATCAGAAAGAGAAATTAAGAAAACAATCCCATTTACAATAGCATCAAAAAGAATAAAATATTTAAGAATGAATGTAACCGAGGAAGTGAAAGATCATTGAGCACTCTAAGACATTGATGAAAGAAATTGAAGAAGACAGAAATAAATGCAAAGATATTCTGTGATCGTGGATCAAAAGAATTAACATTGTTAAAATGTCCATACTACCGAAAGTGATCTACTGATTCAGTGAAATCTCTATAAAAATTTCAATGGCATTTTTCACAGAAATAGGAAAAAACAATCCTAAAATTCTTCTGGATACCCAAAGCAATTTTGAGAAAGAACAAAGCTGGAGGCATCACAGTTACTAATTTCAAGCTATATTACAAAGCTATAGTAATCAAAATAATGTGGTTTGGGCATAATAACAGACTCCCATATCAATAGAACAAAGTAGAAAGGCCAGAAATAAACCCACCCATGTATGGTCAATTGATTTTCTACAAAAGCACCAAGAAGGTACAATGGGGAAATGATAGTATCTTCAATAAATGGTATTAGAAAAACTGGATATCCACATACAGAAAAATAAAACTGGACCCCTGTCATACACCATCCTTAAGAATTTAGTATTTGAGATCTTTGATGTTACTACCAAAGGTGGGCAGTATTATCAATATTAGGAGTTCTGAAGTCAAGGGGAATTATATTTGCCAGTGCTGTGTGTTATCACCTTCCTTCTAATGAGATTTTATGTCTTTGGATAATTAAATTAGGAACATGAGCTAACCTTAAGTGTATATATATTTGTGGTCATCTCCAGCCAGACTTAAGCCCACCTGAAACATTTGCAGTTCCCTTGCTGATTTTTAAAATTTTCAGGGTTTGTTTTTTGTCTTTTGTTTATTGATTCTTAAGTTCTTCTTATATATTGGACTTACCGCACTTTTATTTTTACTTTCATTATTTGCCTCAAATGTTTTTTTTTTTAATGGTTTTAAATTTGTCACTTCTTTTTCTGTGTGTGTTTGTAATTGAGAAGTTTTCAATTTTGATTACTATAGCTTTGTAATATAATTTGAAATCAGGGTGTGTGATGCCTCCAGCTTTGTTCTTCTTTCTTGAGATTGCTTTGGCTATTCAGGGTCTTTTGTAGTTCCAAACAAATTTTAAGATTGTTTGTTCTATTTCTGTGAAAAATGTCATTGAAATTTTGATGGGGATTCCATTGAATCTGTGTACTTCTTTAGCACGCATGGACATTTAACAATATCAGTTCTTCCAGTCTATGATCAAAGAATATCTTTCCATTTATTCATGTCTTCTTAAAATTATTTTGTCAATGTCTTATAGTTTTCAATGTACAGGTCTTTTATCTCATTGG